ATGCTGTTGTGCAAATGGGATAGACAACAGGTGGAAATTACAGGCAATTAGTAAGACACACCCCGATAAAGGAGTGGTTCTGCAGGTGGTGATCACAGACCACTTCTCAGTTCCTAGCTGATGTTTTGGTCACTTTTGAATGCTGGTGGTGCTTTCACTCTAGTGGTAGCATGAGACGGAGTCTACAACCCACACAAGTGGCTCAGGGAGTGAAACTCATCCAGGATGGCACATCAATGCAAGCTGTGGCAAGAAGGTTTGCTGTGTCTGTCAACGAAGTGTCCAGAGCATGGAGGTGGTACCAGGAGACAGGCCATTACATCAGGAGATGTGGAGGAGGCAGTAGGAGGGCAACAACCCAGCAGCAGGAGGAGCACTGCCAGAGCCCTGCAAAATGACCTCCAGCAGGCCACAAATGTGCATGTGTCTGCTCAAACGGTCAGAAACAGACTCCATGAGGGTGGTATGAGGGCCTGACGTCCACAGGTGGGGGATGTGCTTACAGCCCAACACCGTGCAGGACGTTTGGCATTTGCCAGAGAACACCAAGATTGGCAAATTCGCCACTGGCGCCCTGTGCTCTTCACAGATGAAAGCAGGTTCACACTGAGCACATGTGACAGACATCACAGAGTCTGGAGACGCCGTGGAGAATGTTCTGCTGCCTGCAACATCCTCCAGCATGACTGGTTTGGCAGTGGGTCAGTAATGGTGTGGGGCAGCACTTCTTTGGGGGGACGCACAGCCCTCCATGCGTCCGCCAGAGGTAGCCTGAGTGCTATTAGGTACAGAGATGAGATCCTCATACCCCTTGTGGTGCTGGTGCAGTTGGCCCTGGGTTCTTACTAATGCAAGACAATGCTAGACCTCATGTGACTGGAGTGTGTCAGCAGTTCCTGCAAGACTAGGCATTTTTCTATGGACTGGCCAGCCCGTTCCCCAGACCTGAATCCAATTGAGCACATCTGGGACATCATGTCTCACTCACACCAACGTCACATTGCACCATAGACTGTCAGGAGCTGGCAGATGCTTTAGTCCAGGTCTGGGAGGAGATCCCTCAGGAGACCATCCGCCATCTCATCAGGAGCATGCACATGCGTTGTAGGGAGGTCATACAGGCACGTGGAGGCCACACACACTACTGAGCCTCATTTTGACTTGTTTTAAGGACATTACATCAAAGTTGGATCAGCATGTAGTGTGTTTTTCCACTTTAATTTTGAGTGTGACTCCAAATCCAGACCTCCATGGGTTGAAAAATTTGATTTTCATTTTCAAATTGTTGTGTGATTTTGTTGTCAGCACATTCAACTATGTAAAGAACAAAGTATTTCAGAATAATATTTAATTCATTCAGATCTAGGATGTGTCATTTTTGTGTTGCCTTTATTTTTTTGAGCAGTATATATTCCTCCATTATACTACTCTCCTGAGGAGATAGAGCATAGAATGCTCCCTTACGTGGCATGGCGCCGGGTAGCAAGTTAATAGAACAGTCATATGGTCTATGAGGAGGTAGAGTATTAGACTGAGTCTTGCTGAATACTTCTTTAATGTCACAGTATTGTATAGGAATCTCAGGATTTTGAGGTGTACTAGTGGGTAATTCGATAGTGCCCACTCTTTTGGTGACATACAATATACACCTTTCATTACACTCCTTACCCCATTCTAATATTTCCCCATTAGCCCAGTAAATGTGAGGGTTATGCTTGCTAAGCCATGGAAATCCTAATATAATGGGACAAGAAGGAGATGCAATCATCTGACATGTAATCTATTCCTTATGTAAGGCACCAATGGAAATATTAATGGTTAAGTTTTTATGTGTTATCAATGGTTGTGAGAGTGGTCTCCCATCAATAGCTTCAACGGCTAGGGGTGATAGTCTCTCCTGATAGATATAGTATTATCCTTGACAAATTGGACATCAATTACATTTCCAGCAGCCCTTGAGTCCATCAGGGCTTTGCATGAAAAGTTATTTTCAGTAAGAATAATCGAAATATCAATGAGAAGTCTATATTCAGTCTTTTCAGAGGACATCTCCATTATACCTAAGACCTGTCTCCTTAAGGCGCTTAAGTGCGGTAGTTTCTTCGGACGAATGTCTGATGTATTCCCTTGTCGGATGTGCATCAGGGCAGTGGAGGCGTCGTCCTCCCTACCATAATGGTTCAAACGTAAGTTTAAATTCCGTAAGAAACTCCTGGTAATTGTGTGCCACACTCCTATTACTCTCCCATAATGGATTGGGCCAAGCTAAAGCTTTACCTTTTAACTGATTCATCAGGTAACCAATTATAGCTCTGTCTGAGGCCTCAAAATGATACTCCATTTGGTTAAGGAATCCCCTGCATTTTGATGGTATCCAAGAATGCAGGGGATTCCTTAACCAACTGGAGTACCATTTTGAGGCCTCAGCCGTATTTTTTCCCACAGACAGAGCTAAAATTGGTTACCTGATGAATCAGTTAAAAGGTATAGCTTAGGGAGATAGGGAGATAGTAGGTGCCTTGTGTACTATAGGTGGAGTAGAGGCCTCAGGTTGCAGATGCGCTTTTCGAGTAAGAGGCGTACTGAAGGCCTGGGCAAATTGATCCATGAGGTGATCATTTTCCTCCAGTTTCCTTTCGCAAGCAGCTATGTGCTTACACATATCTTCAGGATCTATGGCCACGTCATAATGTCAGGATTACAGCATGATCCAGCACGTAGAATTGTGTAACACAGAGAACTGATAGGTAATGTATACCAGACCTTAGAATGGCCGGACTAACATACCAAAGAATAGTCAGGAATAGCCGGTCAAGGGACACAGAAAGAGAC